GAAGTAAAATGTTTCTCTGAGTTCTGTAAATCACTCTAGCAAAGTAATAGAAGCCAAAGAAGGGGTCATGGCAACCTCAGATATACAGCTGGTAGGTCAGAATCACAGGTGACATCTTGGACTTTTAATTGACATCTAAAGTAGGGGGTGAGGGTGGGAGGACTTTTTGTAGGACTGAACCCTTAACCTGTGGATCTGATGCTATCTGCATGTAGAGAGTGTTAGAATTGAGTTAAATGGTAGGACACCCAACTGGTGTCCAAGAATTGCTTTGGGGTGTGGAAACACCACCTCCCCATCCACCATGGTACAAGAACCTTTAGCATCAGTCAACATCATGTGCTTCTTGATGTGACGCAGTAAGAAAGACACCACAATATTCATGTATTATTCCTGCAAAAATGCATATCTTGAATCTAATCATGAGGAAACAGTGGATAAATTCAAACTGAGGTACTTTCTACTAAATGACCTATACTCTGCAAAAATGTCAATGTCATGAAAGAGAAAGAAAGGCTTAAGGAACCATTCCAAATTTAAGGAGTCTAAAGAGACATGAAGACTAAATGCAATGCATGATCAATCATATGTAGGGTTCTGGATGAGAAAAGAAAATTCCTATAAAGGACATATTTGGAACAGTTGGTGAAATTTGAGTAAGGTCTATAGATTGAATAAGGGCATTGTATAAATTTTTAAAAGTTCTAATTTTGATCACTGTACAATGAAAATCCTTGTTCTTAGGAAATATACAGTGAAGAATTTAAGAGAAGAGGCATATTGTCTACAACTTAATCTCAAATGATTTAGGGAAAAGTGTGTGTATGTGTGCATGTGCATGTGTGTGTGTGTGTGTGTGTGTGTGTGTGTGTAGAGCGGGGGAGAGGGAGGGAGACAGAAGGCGGCATAAAAAGAGGGAGGATGGGAGAAAATGATAAAACAAATATGGCAAAATATTATCAATTAATAACACTGAATAAAAGGTATATGGGAGTTCCTTGCACTATTTTTTGCAACTTTTTTGTAAGCTTTAAATTATTTCTAATTTAAATATATGTATCTTCAAAGGATTAAAACACATCAAAGATATTTTTAAACTCTGTGAGTTCATAAATATACAAAAACAAAAAACAAACAAAAAAACAACCCTAAAACAATAAACCCCATTGGTCACCTTTGCAGGATGCTAGGCAACCAACTCATTTTAAAAACTGGTAAAAAACAAAACAAAACACCACAAGTGTTTATACTGCATTTAGGGTAACAAAATTGTTCAGGGAAAAGTCTTCTTCTTAGAAAAATTCCAGCTAATTAACGAAAATCTCCGCTCTGCATCCTCTAGGCCAGGGGTCAGGAAACTATGGTCCTAGAGACAAATAGCTGTTTGTCCAACCCAATAGCTGTCTCATAAATAAACATAAGTATAGCCACCCCATTTGTTTACATGTTGTTTATTTTAGCTGCATTTACACCATAAAGGCAGAACTGAGTAATTGTTGACAGAGACCATATGGCCACAAGGCCTAAAATATTTACTATTGGGCCCTTTACAGGAAAAGTTTGCCAATTCTTGCTCTAGACCAGGAAAATAACATGCACCTCTCAAACTGTGACAGTACCACAGGAAACTCACAGGGACACCAGAGTATTTTAAATTTTTGAGAAAAACACAGCAACATCTGTCAGACACCAGGTGAACTATCAGCTTGAGGTTATTCAGTTTCAGCATTAAAGTTAATTGCTTTGGAAAGCATCATACTTTTGCAAAGTTGAATTTTCAGCAGTTGCTATGATCTCAAGCAAGTGTCGTGCCAAATCCAATATGGAACAGGAAATGGGGATAGTGGTGTCCCATCTGATTTCAAGGTTTGAGAAGTCATGCAGTGTCCAGCAGGTATATACACTGCATTAGTAAGCAATTGTGGTTAAGAATGAAATAAAATATTTTTCTTTCAATGTGTGTGTGTGTGTGTGTGTGTGTGTGTGTGTGTGTGTGTAGGTGGGTGTGCGTGTAAGTGGCTACTAAGTTGTTAGGACAAAAATACATAAATTTGGACCTAACTACTTAGTAAACAGAAACTAAGGACACTGAAAAAAAATTACTCAAACACAAAGGGTGACATGAAACTCTGATCAAGCAGATGATCGATTGCTGGTGAAAAGCTGAAGACGAATTTTGTAAGAGACAATATTTGAGCCCAATGAACAGTCTCAATATCACACATACAAAAAAACACCACCTATAAGGCTTGATCTAAAAAACCAAGTTTGAATACGATCAAGGTTCTCAACTTGACTACCAGTCTACTAATTCTATAAAGTCTGTATTCTTTGTTTTGTGGCCATTGAAGTCTCTATTCCATCAACTTAAAGCAGCTAGTGATGTAACAGAGATGTCTTTATTAAATACCTGGAAGCAAAAAAAAAATTTTTAAGCCAAAACGCAAAGATATTCCGCCCATCCTTTGCCAATTACCTATATTCTGGGGAACTCCTTCAACACTCAACTAGTGTACAACTCTGCCTTAGCCTTTACTTCCTATTTGCACAGAGCCTGAAGGTCAGCCAGAAGTGAGAACTTAGGTCTTCTCAGGTGTTTTCTGAGCATATGTCCAGACCAGGTTATGCATGTGGCCTTGTAGATTCCCCAGAATAAGAGGGAGCATTTCAAAACCCTTAGTCCCCTAAGCAGCTGCTTCCCCAGCCTCTTCCTTCCTAAACTTTCTGATCTGTTTAATGCTTGCTCCAACTGTTATACTTTGCCTCTGGTGGCAGTAGCTAATACATGTGCTTTAAATGCTTTCAACAAACACTGCCTAGGCAGCTGCCTCAGCCCTGGTAAGGCTCCAAGGCAAGCAAAACCAAACCAAATCCTCAGCCAAATCTTTGGGAACCACCAGATAAGTTAAAACACACAATTACAATTCCTTGAGAATAATGTCCATATTGCTGTCCTCGGTATCAGCAAACTACACCAAGAATATGGGCTGCTATCTTCAAGGCCACTTCCAGGCTGAAGAGTAGGAGATGATCACAGAGCTGTTTTACCAAAATTTGTCAGTCTTTTCTTAAATGTTCCCCTGGTTATTGTTAAGTATTTTTAATTAGATTCCAGAGCTAAAAAAAAGAAAAGAAAAAAGAAAAGTTGATTCTGGCAATTTTGCCATCTTATTTCTTGCTTTTACAGAGGGACAGTTTTCAAATTCGCTACTCTGCCATTTTCAGTGATGTCACTCCATACCATTTACTTCTGTACTTCTCAGCCTTGCCTAAAATTATTTTCTCAGCCTGGAATGCAGAGCAAGAAAAAAATTTTGCTATCACTGAAACTATCAAAAAATGTACTGCTGGGGCATCTGGTTAGCTCAGTTTGTTAGAGCGCACTGCTCATAACACCAAGGTTGCTGGTTCGATCCCATATGGGCCTCTGAGATGTGCCCTCCACAATCAGATTGAAACAACTACTCGACTTGGAGCTGATGGGTCCTGGAAAAACACATTGTTCCCCAATTAAAAAAAAAATGTACTGCTGATTTGAAGGCAGGCCAAGGAGCAGTTGCAAACATTTTGCAATAAGGATACAATCAGTAAAATAACTTTTATCTGTCTTAAAGGCAATACAGATGTTCCTCAACTTACAATGGGGTTACGTCCCAATAAACCCATAGTAAGTTAAAAATATCGTAAGTCAAAAATTCATTTAATACACCTAACCCACTGAACAACATATCTTAGTCTAGCCTACTTTACACGTGCTCAGAACACTTACATTAACCTACATTTGGGCAAAGTCATCTAACACAATGAATACCCTGTCGCTTATCAGTTGCTTACCCTTGTGATTGCAGAGGCGACTGGGAGCTGCAGCATACTGCCGCTGTCCAGCATCAGGAGAGAGTATTGTACCACATATCACTAGCCTGGAAAAGATCAAAATTCAAAATTTGAAGTACGGTTTCTACTGAATGCACATCACTTTCGCACCATTGTAAAGTAAAAAAATTATATATCAAACCATCGTAAGTCAGGACGTCTGTATTCATAACATCACCTTCCTTTCGTTTGTCAAGTCTTCAATAATAGATGCAATGTTTGGTGGTGTTTAGGAGCACACACTTCGGAATAAGACCTCAGTGTGAATTTCAGCTCTTCTGCCACTTAATAGTTGGTTGGTCTTGAGTAAGTCACTTAAATTCTCTAGAACTGTTTCCTTGCCTGTAAAATAGGGATAATAGACACTTCTAAAATCATGGTAAAGGCTTAAAGATATATGTAAAATGCTTGGCACTCAATATTAACTATCTGTTAAACTTGGATTCTTTAATTTGGGTTCTTAGTCATATTACAGTTCATCGTTGAACTGTAAAAAAAAAAAAAAGGTCACCGGCTTCCTATGTAAGTTGCCATATGCTTTTCAGAGGACTTGCATTGAGCTGACTTTTTATATATACGCACACTAATTCTACTTAGATCGTTTATTTGAGTCGGCTTTGGGAGAAATGGCTAGGGATGGGAAAAAGGTGCTAAAATCCTCCCACAGCTCCTTGACAAACTAGAGATGTTTGTCAACACATTTAAAAGGAAAAAAAAAACTGTCTAGACAAGGGAGGAAGAGTGCCAACCCAACACATTTTTTTCAAACCAGCTTCGCTTGGTGTCCATAGGGTTCCATCACGTGATGACAGCACAGAACAGCCAGGAAAGCCTGAGAAGACAAACAGATAATGGGGGTGGGGGGGGGAGGGGTTGTCCCTAGATGGCAATGCCACATCAGCCCTTTCTTATGCGGCCTCCGGGGCTATAAGGACTGCAGGCTACAGTGTCCCTCCTTCTAGATGCCTTAAGAGCCTCCGACACTGGACGGAAATCAGGCGGCAGGTCAGGAGAGACTTGCTCACCTGAGCTGACACTCTTCTGAATGACCAGAGGCTGGGCTCTGCAGCGAGGGGCGCGTTGTCTGTCGCAGAGGCCACTGGGAGTTGTAGTCTGCGGCGGCGGGAGGTTTGACAGCGGCGGCTGGCTTAGCGCTCTCAGAACTCCATTCCCCGCCGGCCCCCGCGACCTAGACAGTTGCCTCTTCCTGCTCAGGGAACAAGAAGCCCTGCTGCGGTAAGTTAAGAGGATTTGGGAAGGGTATTCCACCTTCTTGCCGATTTCTCGGAAACGAGAGCTTGGTCTGCTCAGGTAGAGCACGTTCCCTAGTCTTGCAAGTCGCCTGTTGGGAGGGAGCGGAGGGAACAGAGGGGATCCCAATGGCGAAATTGCTGAGCTTGCAGCGGAAGACTGGAGCTTGCGGACAGCCGGCTGTCACTCGGGGAAGTTTTTTGGTGAAACGCATCCGAACAGTGGTTTCTTGGGGGGAGCGGTGAGGCCAAAGCCGGGTCCCCAGAGGCCACTCCCAAGGGGCGATGTGCGCTCCTAACAGAGCTTGGGTGCGAGAAAGTCATGGACTCCCTTGGGTGCCGAGAGAATTCGAGGGGCTGTGGGAGTGGGTGTCTGCTGGATCCTTAGGGAAAAGGCAGGGTTACCTTGGATGAACACCAGAGTGAGAGAAGGAAGGAGAAGGAGATTTGGGGGGAATTGCGGGAATAGGAAAGTCCTTCTGTAGCCCGAGTAGAGAAGAGCTACAGAGGGAAGATGGGGAGGAAACCCCCTTGTGCCTTGAGCTAGGACCACAGATGGGGTGAGCGCCAAGACAGGGTAAGTACATCCCTACGCTTTTGCCTGGCTCAGTTGTGAGTAGGTTGCTTGACATCTTAGTTAGCCGTCTTAGAATAGAGGCATACCTCGGAGATATTATGAGTTCAGTTTAAGACCACCGCAATAAAACAAGTCAAACGAATTTTTTGGTTTCCCAATGCTATAAAAGTTATGTTTACACTATATTGTAGTCTATTAAGTGTGCAATGACATTATGTTAAAAAAAATGTACATACCTTAATTTAAAATACCTTATTGCTGGACAGCCAGTTAACTCAGTTGGTTAGAGTGCAATGCTCATAACACCAAGGTTGCCGGTTCAATTCCCACCTGGGCCAGTGAGCTGCGCCCTCTGCAATTGGGTTGAAAGCAGCAACTTGACTTGGAGCTGATGGCTTCTGGAAGGGCACACTGTTCCCCATTAAAAAAATTTTTTTTTTAAATACCTTATTGCTAAAAAATGCTAACCATCATCTAAGCCTTCAGCAGATCATAGTCTTTTTGCCTCAGTGTTGATGGCTGCTGACTGATCAGGGTGGTGATCGCTGAAGGTTGGGTTTTGGGGTGCCTGTGACAATTTCTTAAAATAAAGCAACAATGAAGTTTGCCACATTGATTGACTCTTCCTTTCATGAACCATTTCTCTGTAATATGTTATGCTGTTTTATAGCATTTTAACCACTGTAGAACTTCTTTCAGAATTGGAATCAGTCCTCTGAAACCCTGCCACTGCCTTATCAACAAAGTTTACGTAATATTCTAAATCTTTTGTTGTCATTTCAACAATCATCACAGCATCTTCACCAGGAGTATATTTCATCACAAGAGACCACTTTCTTTGTTCATTCATGAGAAGCAACTCATTTGTTAAAAAGTTTTATCATGAGATTGCAGCAATTCAGTCACATCTTCAGGCTCCACTTCTTTTTTTTTTTAGTTTTTTTTTAATTAATTAATTTTTAAATTAGTTTCAGGTATACAACACAGTGCAATAGTTATACTTTTTACCCCTCAAAGTGACAACTCCCCTCCCCCAATCTGCTGTCCCACTCCCCCTCATATCATACATATCTATTACAATTCCATTGACTCAACTCCCACACTACACATACATGACTATATATATATATATATATATATATGTATATATATATATATATATATATATATATATATATATATATATCATACAATATTATACAACATCAGCTTCAGGTGTACAGTGCAGTGATCAAGCCTCTACCCTATCCATGAAGTGGTCTCCTTAGCAAGACGTGACCATCTGACACCCTACAAAATATTTACAACATTATTAATTCTCTTCCCCGAATTGTCTTTCATATCCCTGTGGCAATATTGTAGTTACCTATTTATGCTGTCTAATCCCTTCCTCTTCTCCCTCATCCCCACCCCCACCCCCAACTAGCAACCATCAGTTTTTCCTCTATATCTCTGAGACTATTTCTGTTTACTTTGCTCATTCATTCAATTTTTTAGATTCCACATATAAGTGAGATCATATGGTATTTGTCTTTCTCTGACTGACTTATTTCACTTAACATAATGTTTCTAGGTCCATCCATATCGTTGCAAATGGTACAATTTCATTCTTTATAGTGGAGTAATACTCCATTGTATAAATGTACCACAGTTTCTTAGTCCAGTCGTCTACCAATGGGCATTTCAGTTGTTTCCAGCTCTTGGCTACATCCTCCATCGAAGTTTTGAGCCTGACAAAGTTATCCAGGAAGGTTGAATTAACTTCTTCCAAACTCCTGTTATATTGATATTTTGACCTCTTCTCATGAATCACAAATGTTAATGGCATCTAGAATGGTGAATCCTTTAGAAGATTTTAAATTTGTCCAGATCCATCTGAGAAATCATCTGGCAGTTATAGCCTTATCAAATGTATTTCTTAAATAATGAGACTTAAAAGTGGAAATTACTCCTTAATCCGTGGTCTGCAGAATGCATATTGTGTTAGCAGGCATGAAAACAACATTAACCTTATACATCTCCATCGGAGCTCTTGGTTACCAGGTTCATTGTCAATGAGCAGTAATATTGGGTTGTCGGAAAAGTCATGACGCATTTTTTGCAATGAAAAACGTAGAAAAAATATGTCATGACTTTTCCAACAACCCAATATTTTGAAAAGAATCATATTTTTCTGAGTGGTAGGTCTCAACAGTGGGCTTAAAATATTTGGTAAACCTTATTGTAAACAGATGTGCTGTTATCCAGACTTTGTTCCCTTTATAGAGCACAGTCAGGGTAGATTTAACACAATTCTTAAGGATCCTTGGATTTTCAGAATGGTAAATGAGCTCTGGTTTCATCTTTAGCCCCTCACAAGAGAGTCAGCCTGTCCTTTGAAGCTTTGAAGCCAGGCACTGCTTTCTCCTCTCTAGCTATGAAAGTCCTAGATGACGTCTTCTTCCACTATAAGGCTGTTTTGTCTACATTGAATATCTGTTGTTTAGTGTAGCCACCTTCATCACTTGTCTTAGCTAGATCTGGATACCTTGCTGCAGCTTTTTTATCAGCACTTGCTGCTTCACCTTGCACTTTTATGTTATGGAGATGGCTTCTTTCCATAAACTTCATGAACCAACCTCTGCTAGCTTCAGACTTCTGTTCTGCAGTTTTCTTACCTCTCTCAGCCTTCATAGAATTGAAGAGAATTAGGATCTTGCGCTGGATTAGGTTTTGGGTTACGGGAATGTTGTGACTGGTTTGATCTTCTATCTAAACCACTTAAAGTTTCTCCACTTCAGTAAATACGGTAAATAGAGAAGAGGACCAACACTGAACCTTGGGACTCTGCAATTTTAAGAAGTCTGGGAGACAAGGACCGAACAGTAAAGGAGACAGAGTAGAAGGAGGGACCAAAGTGTGCAAAGAGAACTTAGAGTCCTAGTGAATCTAGTTTATTAAAGAAGAGAGTGATCCCTTGTGGCAAATATTTCTGATAGGGTGAATAAATTAAAGCTTGAGAAATGACCCTTGGGCTTACCCATCTGGAGGTCATTGGTGATCTAACAAGGGTAGTTTTTGTGTAGGGATGAGGAAGATATCCTGATTAGCATGGTCTTAAGAAAGAATGGGAGAATCTTCTGTTTTATGCTTTCTACCTTATATCCTACTTCTTTTATGTTTTCTTTTTCTTATTCCTTGCCCTTTTTTAGGTCAATTTTTATCATTGTCTTTTCCCCCTCTACTAGATTTTAAGTTATACACTGTTTTTTATTATGTTAGGAGTTACCTTTAAAATTACAACATACATCACATCGAAGTGTAGTGTTGACCTGGACAATAGGAGGGTCTTCGAATACATTAATTCCAAGACCTTCCCTTGACGTTTTTTCCCTTTGGTCTGGAATTTTAACTTTTTTTCTAATCCTGTATTGTTTATTAATTCTGTTTGGATTCATTAAATTTCTTGAGTCTGCAGATTGTTATCTTTTATGAATTCTAGAAATTTGTCAGCCATTATATCTTCAAATATTACCTTTGCCACTCCTCTCTGGTTCCCCAATTACATACATGTTAGACCTCATTCTATCTCCCATGTCTCTTACCTCTCTTCCACATTTTCTGTATTTTTTTTCCCCCTCTCTCTTCTGCGTTGTAGGTAGTTTGTTCTGATTTAATCTTCTAGTTCATTAATTTTCAACCTTTAAACCCATTCATTGAATTTAAAATTTGGGGTATTATATTTTATTATTTTTTAAATTTTTGGCCTAAAAATTCACTCTGGTCATTTTCAAACATGCTAAGTTACTTTTGAAAATGTTCCCTTTTTCCTTTATTTATTTAACCATAGGAAGCATAATTGTTTTATAATTTTATCCTGATAATCCTATAGTTGAAGTCCTTGTGGATCATTCTGCAGTTGTTTCTTCTGGTTCTTACTAATAGTACTTTATTTCTTTACATGCTAGGTTACTTTTGATTGTGCACTGTTTATTGTCCTTAAAAGATTGTCAGAAAGTTTTCTTCGAGGCCTAGGATGAAGGTGTGTCCTTACAGAAAAGATTTACATTTGCTTCTGCCAGTTACCCAGAATCCCTACCAAGCAAATTAGCCTTAAATTATACCATTTTCCCCACCCACACGTACACACAGGCATACACATGCGTGCGCACACACACATGCTGTGGTCTGTGTCAAGAAAACTTGTTTGTAGTTCCCTTGTGAGGTAGTGAGGCACTTACTTTTACTTATTGTTAACCCCTAAACTAAAGGTAAAATTCTATGTAGTCCCAGCCATATTATGGGAAGGAAATAGGGGTGATTTCTTATTATAATCATTCCTTACTTTGAGTGAATCCCAGATTTTGTCTTCTATTTCCCTAATACTTCACATGGCCTAGAAAACCTCAGCCCAATTTCTCCTGGTACAGAAAATACCCTCAGAACAGAAACAACTTCCTTGAGCTATTTATACCTCTCGAGGTTCCTTAACTTTACCTGCAAATGGCCTGATTTTTCTTACTATTTTTGAAGCTTTTCAAAAGATGTTTTTTTATATTTTAGCCAGTATTTTTTGTTTTATGCAGAAAAATGGGCCAAATAGCCTAATCTGTTTTATTACTAGAAATGGATTACCCCACTTATTTATTATTAAGCTGAAAATAAGCAGTAACTCCATTTTAATTTAGCAAGTTTTTAATAAAATGTTTGAGGCATTTACCACATTAAGATATATTCCCATATTTTTCCAATTCCTTACACATAAAACTGTTATTTAATAATAGTAAAATAATTGTTTAATTAAACTTTAAATTATTTATATTTTTTGATGTATATAGGACTGACTTCTTCAGTGCTCAGAGTCTGAGAAACATGGCAACTATGGGTAATGATTCTAGACATCTTCTCATCCCTGAGGTAGATCATGAAATAAATCCTGGACCTATGAATATCCAGTTTGATTCATCAGATCTCAGATCCAAAAGGTAAGTGTATAAAATAAAACAATTGTTTCATAATTAAGGTTTCTCATTATTAAAATAGAACTAATTATAACCAAACATAAATAGCTTTGATTGTAAAAAAACCAGTTTCTTACAGGATCTGTGTGTTTGTAGTTGGAGGGAATAAATGTGAATAATATTTCTTCATTTATATTTGACTTTTGCAACTAAACTCAACATCTCTGTGCGTGGGTAAGTTTTATGAAGTAAGATGCATTCATATAATTCATGTATATTGATTACCTGCTTTGTGCAAGGTAATGTGTGCTAGGTGCTGGGTATAGAACAGTGAACTTAACACACAGCCCTTACCTTCATTGACTTTAAATTCTATAGCAGATAGTTTAAGATTTGAGTTTAAAAGTTATTTCATTGCATACCTAGTAAACTCAACAGAATCCACTGAAAACTTGTTATAAATAGTAAGAGAATTCAGTAAGATTGGCTATTTACAAAATAGGGAAAAATAAATAATATTCTGATGAAAAAATGTAATAAAAAAAGATAAAATGCATAGCTTTCAAAATGTGCAAAATCTCTATGACAGAAACTTTGAAATACCACTGAAGGACCTGAAATAAGATTTAGAATATTTCTTCAAATGTGAGATACTGATTATAAGTTGTACTGTTTGTTTTTTAATATAACACTAAGATAAACTGCTGCAAATACCTCTGATGCAATAGTCTCTTAAGACCTAGTTTTTTTGTTTGTTTGTTTTTGTTTTTTTTAAGCTGAGCCATCCTGCTACCTGTTGGCAGCTCAGCGGCTGCTCAGCTCGGGCTGGACTCAAACTGCTGTTGCTCAGAGCTCAAACTCTTGAGCGAGCTCTTAACCAACTGAGCCACTCGGCTGGCCCTAGGACCTAGTTTTTTGTTGTTGGTTTTTTTTTTACTGAAAGAACTCTTGGACTTTTTTGGTATTTTATCGTGTATCATATATCTCTTATGCAACTAGAAAAAAAAAGTATGTCAGTTAAGATATTACTAAACTGATTCTTTATATATGGAATCTGATTCTTCTAAATCACTTTTTGACTTGGAGTCATCAAAATCAGTATTTTCCCCCCCATACAAAATTGTCCTTTGTACATTAAGAGCATTGGTAATGTAGCATTTCTTGAAAGAATTTTCTTCCAAATCACTGACATTTAGTTTTGATGCTTGCACTTTCATGATCTTACCAGAAGGTGTCACAAAAGGCTTTCTAACAACACTGGCTCATAGTTCTTCCTCAAATCGTCCTTAAATATTTTGATGACTGGAAGGACTAGGGATGACAGTTATCTGTCATGCCGCCACGAATAATTACTGGCTGACAGTGATTAAAAGATGTCCTGGATTATGTGATGCATCCATATTTTAGAAATGTTTGAATGTGTATACTAGAATTAGTAAAATATGACATTTAACAAAAAGGCATGTTCTGAGCTCAGTGGTTAGATTCTAAAATAAAATGTCCTGATCTTTAAATTTTAATTCATCAACTTAATGTGATTCCCCTCTCCCCCAAAAAATGAAGCAGCCAGTTCCCAAGTTTATATGGCCCAGCAATTTCACATCTAAGCATTAATTGGCAATGTCAAATATTACATGTACAAGGTTGTTTAATGCAGCATTTTTTATAACAGCAAATTTTTTTACAATAGCAAAATATCTTTTTTTACAGGACTGGATAAATAAATTATGGCATATTGATACAATGGACTATTTTTCACCCATTAAAAAGAAGGAAGTGGCTTTAGTACAAATCAAAATGGAACAAGTCTTCAACTTATTTTATTTAAGTGAGAAAAGTGAAGTGCAGAGCAGTGTGTATGATATACTACCCTTGGATAAAAATAAATCGATAAATTATATGTAATACAATATGTATAAATCACTCCGGGAGAACAAATAGGAAACCGTAAGAGTAGTTGCTCCCTCATAGAGAAACTGAGTGCTTGAGGTGAGAGATGTGGCAGATACTGTTAGATAAATATTCAATAACCCCACCTATTCCTTGCCAACAGAATCCTAATTTTGTTTCTAATTTTGGTAAGGGTCGCAGTAGGTTCCAACCCAGTAGATGAAGGATTGGTTTAAGCTAGCTTCAGTAATCCTGTTTTCACGTTCCAGCTACAGTCTTGTGTCACTTAATGAGGGGGATTCCTTCTGAGAAATGCGTTGTTAGGTGATTTTGTTATGCAAACATCACAGAGTGCACTTACACAAACCTAGATGGTATATAGCCTACTACACACCTGGGCTATGTGGTATAGCCTGTTGCTCCTAGGACAAACCTATACAGCATGTTACTGTGCTGAATACTTTAGGCACTTGTAATGCATTTCATTATAATGTCACTGGGTGACAGGAATTTTCCAGCTCCATTATCATCTTTTGGGACCATCATCGTATATGCAGTCCATCACTGACCAAAACATTATGTGACACATGACTGTACTTAATTTTTTTAGTCTTTCTTTCACCTAGAGGTAGCATTGTGAAATTTATCACAAATTTAATATCGTTGTTCATAGTGTCATCAGAGAAGATAATGAAATGAATCTTATAATTTTTACTTGTATATTCCAACATCAGTGAATATAAGAACTAATGAATGCTAATTGAATGCTCAGGATTTTTTGAAACCTCTAAATTCTGTGATAAATAATTGACCATTGTGACAATAGAACATAGGTCATTACAGTACATTCCATTGCAATATGTTGACAGGAGTTTAAACAGTTGTCTGAGAATTTGTTAACTGTGTAGATTAAATGGAAATCTATTTTCTATAATGAAACTTGTCAAAATGAAAGGGAATCAACTATTTACAATTATGGAATAACTACCTAGGTAAGCATGTTTTGGAAGGCAAATACTGATATGGACTTAGCAGTATTGAATGTTAATTTGCCTGTGAAATAATTTAGTTGAAAACAGAACTTATTTGATGAAAAAAAGTAGGAGTACCTTAAAACATTGTTATCTCTATTAAACTATGAGCTACTTCACTTTATATATGTAAATAAAACTCAGACACACTGAGGGGAATTTATCTTCCATTGGAAGAACCAACTTACACAACAGTTTCCAAAACTTCCGTCATTTTAGAGTCACCGTATGACTTGGGTGATATCTCATTACCATCTGTATATTATGATTTAATGTATATTTTTCATTTAACTTTCAAAAATTAGGGTTAATTTAGCCTCATCTTCACATATTTGTGAAATGATGGATTTGTGAAGTATCGTTTTTACTTTTTTCTTATATGTGTTGCAGTAAATACCAAGTAGCTATAGTAGCATTCATCCTTGTGCTATCTAAAATCACCTCACGTATTTATAAGCACACTTTGGGAAACAGTCTCCAACTGCTGGAGTTGTTAAAAAACAAAATTCAACTGAGTCAATTTGAAGACCTAATTGGCTTTAATCAACGATTCATGAGTCGGGCAGCGACCATTTAGCATATAGAAAGGAGCTCTAAGGAGCTTTGTGAAATGGAAGGCTTTTATAGACAGAAAAGGGGCAAGATGAGGAAGTTATTAGCAACGAGTGAATTAATTCAAGCAAGCAAGGCTGCCTTCGTTTAGGGGAAAGCAGGGATCAGGCAGATTACCTCGTTAGTGTTGACGACATAATTCCAGATTGACTGGATTAAAGGTTACTTTTTCTGGGGGAAGCTGAAACTGCAACTCTGGTGTTAAGTTTGTTGCTGAGTGGGACTTAGCAAAAGTGACCCTGTTTGGGCCTGTTCTTTGTTTGTTTTTTAAGGGAGTATAGAAAACAACATTTGATACTTTTAGTACCTTACCTTCAGTTTGGCTTGTGGTTAATTCTCTCTCTTCCACTAGGTGGCAATAAAAAGCATATATCAGTTCAAATGTAAGCATTTTAACAACTCCTTTGCACTGAAAGTGTGCTTGCTGGATCTGCTTATCGTTTTGGTGGAACTGGGTTCTAATTAGACTTAGGTGAAAGAAGGAGTTTGTCACCGTAGAGGAAAGGTACATGACATAATCATTTAGGGGACTTTTGCAAACTACACACCACTTTCTCCTCTGCATGCTTTTTCTCTCCTCCCCCATCAGTTTTTCACCTGGTGAAGTGAGGAATGTGGGTGAAGGGACAGAAATGTTTAGAAATCTCCTATGCTGTATTTGACATATTCCCTTGGTAGCCACTGGCCTCAGAGATTGTTTTCCTGCTTTCTTGCAGACTTTCTGGTAACCACAGATAGAGCTGGTATTCAGGATTGCTTCATGACTATGCTTTTGCTCTGGGATTATCCCTTTGGGAGTTGACCATTCCAGCCAGCCTGAAACCAAATGGTGAAGTGGTGTATTAGTTTTTCAGCTTCCCATTTTCAGTATCTCTAACACTGTTTCTCTTCCATTTTTCCCAGAGCCTAGGGCTTTCCTGCTCTTGTCTGTATGCCCAGTTTTCCCAGGGCAAGAATTCCCTCAAGAATTCCCTCAGAGGGCTGGCCGAGTGGCTCAGTTGGTTAAGAGCTCACTCAAGAGTTTGAGCTCTGAGCAACAGCGGTTCGATTCCCGGCCAGAGCTGAGCTGCTGCTGAGCTGCCAACAGGTGGCAGGATGGCTGAGCTTAAAAAAAAAAAAATCCCTCTGCAATGCTTTGTAAACCATACTTTTCTTCTGCCCCTTATTCACCAGTATTTATCTGTCCTATTCTTGCAGGGCTTTGTATACCTCTTTAGTGTTAGAATGGCAAATAATCTGATGTGTCAGAGTCTATTACTAGTCTTACTTTTCCATGGCTATTTGCATTTTAATGTGGAGAATCCTAGAAATAGAAAACTCTTACCTAAAAGTTAGGTTTTTCTAGTTGATAATATTTTAAGTGCTCTGGTAAGCCAGTGGGGTACAGGTAGGTATGTAAAACAGGCAGCATTCCTGGTGCCCTTCAAACACATTACATATGCTGTAACCCCTGGTTTTTTAGAGTGGCTACTAGTTGGTGCATCTGTAAAA